ACATGTAGAAGCATCCCTCAATGTCAGAGATCCATCTTATCACAGCTATTGGGTACTTAGTCTCATCAAACTCTGGTGGCTTCATGTTGCTAAACTCTCGGTAAAGCAACGAGTCACCCCCCTGCGGCCTGACAACAGCGACGGCTGCGATGGCCGTAGCAACAACAACATCAGTAAGAGCAGCGTACCGCTCATCAAAAGTCTCGATCAGCATGATCTTGATAGACCCAAACATCTCCGATATCTCAGCTCGGATGGCTGCAACCACTTCCTCATGAATCATCCTACAAATCTCCTCATCGCTGACACCGCTGCTCTCTGGAGTGTGGCGCGCACTTACCATGTCTCTTAAACACAACCCAAAAAATCAAATACCCGCTCGAGTATTCTCACACTCGATCACTCAACCCTAATTGTTCCTTAGTACCTTGAGGATTCTTACTTGGACTGCTCACTGATCCGGTGTTTCCAGTAGTACGGGCCCTATACTACCTTTTGCAATGCATCAGCATTCACCCCAAGTCCTCCTTCTAGGATCCCAGATCACAAGTACTCTATATCTCGCTACGTACATGCTACTCTCTAGTAGGCCACTCATAAGCTCCTCACTGCTACCTACTCGCTATCGAAGTATCTCATAGTATCAGTAATCTCCTAGGCTAAGGCATCACAAATCAGACCACTCTAGTCCTAGATATGAATACTTAGCCTACTCTATCATGCATAACATATCACATAATATCTCATAACACGTAATGTAAGGGTATTTTGGGAAATCACTAGTCGGGCATTGGCTGATCGTACACACTGCTCCTTTCTGCTTTTCTCAAAGTCTTTTACTCTTTAGAAAATTGTTCCTTTTTATGAAAAACTTTCCCAAATCCTCAGTTTAAGTTCAGATATGCCCAAAGGTGCATCCGAATCCCTCAAACCAAGGCTCTGATACCAACTTGTAACAATGTGAAAATTTAAAACAAGTTTTCATTTTTCAAACAACATAAAACTCATATAATAATCTCAAATCTCATGTTCATCAAATATCATAATTAAACATATCCCAAGATCACAAAATACAATCCTCTGTCAGTGTGTACGGATCATGCCGGCGCCTTCCCACGATCCTTGCTAGTACCTAAAACACATAACACATAACACTATAAGCATAAATGCTTAGTGAGTTCCCCAAAATACCATATACAATACATATTAGCCACTACAGGATATAATTCTATATGACCCTCTGGTCAGTGTGTCTCAGTGGGACCCTCCAGTCCCATAACTCTGTGGACCCTCTGCTCCTAACTTTGTGGACCCTCTGGTCCTAACTCTGTTGACCTTCCGGTCCTAACTCTGTAAACTCTGAATCATACATAACATAAATCACATAGAAATAATGTAGTGTATCACATCATATAAATAACATACAAGATACTCTGTCACATAACTCTAATTACCACTCTTGGTAAAGTATAGTGAGAATACTCACCTCGGGTAACTCGGATAAACCTCGAACGCGATATATAGATCTAGCATCCGCCTAATCACCTAAAGTAAATACTCATAATCAATACGGCTCTCAAAGGCTAGACTAATCCCTCTCTAAATTCTCTCAGAAGGGTAAAAGACTATTTCACCACTCAAACGGTTCAACGGTCTAAATATTGACTAAACCCTAAAAGACAACGAAAGTCAACTCTCCGGGTACGCGGCACGTAACAACTCTGTACGCTGGGCCTACTCGGATACTTCACAGAATCGGGGAGCTCAATTCCCTACGCTACGCGTACTGGAATTACGCCTAGCGTAAGTCCCAGTCTTATACTCTTTAGATTTTTGGTCTTAATCAGTTAAGACATAAGCTTAAATTCCAGATCTGACTATTCTAAGGCCACTTAATCCATAAAGTCGAAACCTTTTAGCCTTTGCATGGTTGTAAAGGTCACCAATCACTCTAAACACCTTTCCTCTTTCCTCATTAAGCCTTTATCTCATGCATGACTTAATATTCACGTCCAAGATTGGATTTTTATGAACCTACAACACATATTACACTGGAATAGGGCAGATCTAAGCTTATGGAGACCCCTTCCTCATAAAGTCTCCACCTTGGAAACAAAAACCCTAAAAATGGGTCCATAAAGCACAAATCAAAGATGACAAGGAAAGCTTTGAGCTTTTTACCTCCAAGTGAAGCTCCAACATTTGTAGAACTTGGATTTAAGGTTGTCCTCCAACTTCTATCTCCCACAATGGCCTCCTCTTCTTCTTCACCACCACAAAATGGCACTTTCAAGCTTAAGAACACACACAAGCTTATAACTGGTGTTTGCTCTCTTAGGGTTTCACTCTCTGTAATATGGTGGCTGGGGTAAGGGCCATATCAATTCTTTTATAGTTCTCAAGTCTCATTTAGGGTTTTGCATCTGAGCCAGTTACGCCTAGCATAACTTTGGTATGTCCAGCGTACCTAATTGATTATGTGTCCATAATAAGCGCATGAGTACGCGTATCGTACTCTTCAGTACGCCCAGCGTACTTGTTTGTAGCATTTTCCACTCAAGGACTAAACTTGATAACTTGGTAAAGAAGAAGGGTTAAATAGATGTACCTAAATTTCAGGATGTTATAGTATCGCTGGTAAACAGTAATCATGAATAGTAATCACCGGTGAACAGTACACCGATGAACAGTGCCGATGAACAGTAACTCGCCACAAAAAACGAAAGGTCCAAGTAAACATCGCACGGGCGATGATGATTCATATATAGCAGACATATAACGGCTGGGGTTTCGTACTATTATAAAAGAGAAGTAATTAGGTTTCCTAGCGAAAAGGCCGAATCATAAAACCCAATACAAAATAAACCCCAAAATCTTATTAGGCTAACACTATTAATGCAATGGATGTTGTTGCTTGTTTTACTATTATGCATTGTTATGATACTGTATATAACGTCCTCCGCTCCCAAAGGTTTCTACCAATTCGGTTTGGGGGTGTGACAATTATGAAACAAAAAAATAAAACAATAACACTTAAGTTAGAAGGTGTTAGGGATTACTGTTTTGCTTCAAAAATATTTTTTATAAAAGGACTTTTTACAAAAGTTGTGTTTTAAAATGTGTTTGGATTAGCTTTTGAGGGACAAAAGTCAAAAGTTGTTTTCACAAAATGTTTGGTTTAACTTTTTCATGTAAAATGACTAAAAAGGACATGCTTACATATTTACAATGATTTACTACTTTACATATATTATTTTATACTTAACACTTTTTTAAACACATATTATAATTTTGTTAACATTTTATTAGAAAATATAAAGTATAATTTTTTTAAAAAATATTTCTAATTTTTTGGATTAGACCATGATCATATTAAAATTACGTTCATACAAATTGTAAATAATTCATAAAAATATCATAGATAATATTACATTCATCTTCGCAATGTAATTATATCTTGTGCAATAATATCTCGTATGTCTGCCATATATGAATCATCATCGCTCGTGCGATGTGTACTTGGACCTTCTTCGTTAACTTCACTACTAGTACCACCTCGTACAAGATTGTAGGATTCTTGTTGTACCCTATTAAAGCTTCATTAAACCTACCAACCTTTCTAATGTAGTTATGGATCGCCATCGATGCTATCATAATTCTCACTTGGTTCTTGTACTTGTACTTAACATGCATGTTTCTTAATAACGCCCACCTAGCTTTCCACACTCCAAAATTTCGTTCAATGACATTTCACAATGATGAGTGGAGATAGTTAAATTTATCTTTCGGTCCACGAGGTTCACGAATAGCAGCAGTGTATCCACGTCAGAAATGTGGTAAATGATAACAAATATTTGTGCCTTTGTATGGAGCAAGATATCCTCTGGTATTTGGATATCCGACATCAACAACATAATATTTATCTGTAATTAAAACAAACATTTATTATTCATTTCAAACAAGTAGTAAAAACATAAAACTTATATTCCAAAAAAAAAAAACTAACAACCGTTGGATATGGAAAATTAAGATCTGGTCTCTTATGTCATGTGCAGTCCCCTCCCAACCGGACCAAACAAATGTAAAGCACATGTTAAAATCACAAACAACCATTATATTTTGTGTTGCATATCCCTTTCGACCAATGTACTTTGCGTCCACTTTTTCTGGAACTGATGCCCTAACGTGTGTCCCATCTATAGCACCAAGGCCATCCTTTAAATTCAAAAATGTATCATAAATAAATTATTTGTTAAAGTTTGACTACCAAGAAAATGAACATTGAAAATACCAAGGCTTATTTAATATATATTTGGGAACATCATCATTATAGTTTGCGTCTGGCTTGATGATGTCGGCACTCAGTTTTAGCACGGCTTCCAAAAATGGAAATTCCTGTGAATCGTTTCCCCCGAATGATTAAAAAATTATTGCACAAATCTATTTCTACACCCATAAGCCAAAGTCATCAAGAATATTCTTACAGACTCCTCAATATATATTTCGTGTTTGTTGTAGTCCGTAATTTATAGCAAGATCTATGCATAATTGTCTAAAAAACGGTACATGGAGTCTAAACATCTCATAATCCCATCTAGGATGGCTATTTAGTACTTCATTAATAAACATGTACTATGTGCGGTCTGAAGTGTGACATGGCATACGTAAGTTATGAGCTAGTATTATCCCTTTCAAAGCTAATCCACATAACATTTCAAATTCTCTATCCTCTTCCACCCAACATTCTTCATTATCAGTGGATTAATTATATTCATCACTATACATCCTACATAATACAAATAAAAAGATGTCAAACAATAACACATAATATAAAATGTCGATTACATAAAGACAAACAATAACACATAATATAAAATGTCAAATACATAATGTCAAAGGACAACTCATAATGTCAAACATGAAACATAATGTCAAAGCATAAAACATGTTGTCAAAGGATAAAACATAAATGTCAAAGCATAACACATATTGCTAAATCATTATTTCATAAGTAACTTAAGGAGCTCCATCTTGGCATCATCAGTCTTTGGAAACATAAAAGCTTCACGATTTTGCTTTTTGGTGAAGACAAGCAATGCTTGTGAAAATTCATTGGACCCTTCACGAAAATCGGGAGACTTGATGACAATGGACATGCAATCTGCTATTGTTGGGGGAGGATTATTTTGTGAATAAGTTTGTGTGCTTTTTGTTAATATGACATCCAATAAAGCATCTACTTTTTCATTATACATTGAACTTTTACTCTTGGTCAAACGGTTGTTGGAAATAGGCTTAGACCTCTTCCTTTTACTTGAACTACTTTCATGGAAACTAGGAAAAAGAGGCTCATCATAATCTAAATTGATTTCATCACTATCTCCTTTGTCCTCCATATTTTCTTCGTTTGGAATGATATTGTTTTGAAATTGTAATGGACTCATTGTAACATCTGGATTTTTAGGTATGTTAATTATGTGTTTATTTTGAGATTAATTGAGTGACTCGACGAGTTGGGAGTCTAACTCGTCGAGTAGGGATGAGTTGGCCATGTGGGATTAGTGGTCTACTCGACGAATCCGAGAGTCGACTCTCCAAGTAGACGCTGAGTGGTGAAACCCTAAGTTCCTGGGTTTGGGACCTATTTAAGGACACTTATAGCCTCATATTCAGCTCACCAACCATTCTTCCACCCTGAGAGAAACCCTAAACAGCCATAGAGCTTAAGGAGAGAGAATTTGAGCTTGCATTTGAGTGTTTTGTGCATTTATTTTGATGTGAAGGGGAGGATTCAAGTAAGGAACGTGAAGGAGGACAGTAGATCTGAGATTATCTTGCCCAGAAGCTTCTAAGAGAGGTAAAAAGTCCTCACCTTTCTCCTTGTGGTGAATAGATCTCATGTTTTTTATGGTTAGGGCTTTTTACCACCTATTTTGTTGAGATATGAGTACATGGAGTCCCTTTCTAGGTCTAGACTTCATATTTTGACCTTATGAGGTCCAGAGGGTCCAAAGGCTCAAGCTTTATTCAGTCACTTAAAGAGTTATTGTGTTTGGTGCCCTTGTTGGAGTTGTGATGGCATTTAGAGAAATATATGCCATGCATGATCATAAAGATCAAAACTTTACGTGACTTTTGGACCTTAGGAGGCTAGATCTAGGGTTTGGAGTAATGGATCTGTATTTGGATGTCTGAATGGAAAATTATATTAAGTAAACTTGCTGAGTCCATGAGATGACTCGATGAGTCGGTTCAGGTCCGTCCTGGTGTTCACAGCCAAGTGATAACTCATCAAGTTGGGGGTTAACTTGACGAGCTGAGCAGAACCTTCACAAGACTTCTGAGGATACGAGAGGACTCGACGAGTTGCATGAGTGCACTCGATGATTCTGGTCAAACAAGGACTATTGAATCGGGTTCAACTTCTGTTGACTTTAGGGTTGGGTCAATCGTGAGTACTAGAGACCATGGAGGGGTAAAATGATCTATTACCCACTTCCCGAGTAGAGAAAGAAAGAGTAACCTTTGGTTTAACTAGAGTTGAGAATTCGAGTGTTGATTAGAGATATTTACCCTATGTGTTAGGCGGTGGCTAGTTCGAGATTCAAATATGAGGATAACTGCTTGCTTGCTTCGAGGTGAATCTTCTCACTATACTATGAGTAATGTCCTATGTGTGACCAGAGTATCTTATGTGCTTATATTGAGTGTTGCGATATCCTGCATTATGTCTTTTTGATTTATGTTGTATATTTTGTTGAGCTTACAGAGTTAGGATCGGAGGGTCCACCCGAGTTGTGGGACCGGAGGGTCCCACTGAGACTCATTGACCGAAGGGTCTTATAGTGACATAGCCTCGAGTGGCTAATGAGATGGGTGTGTGGCATTATGGGGAACTCACTTAGCTTCGTGCTTACCGTGTTGTGTGTTATGTGTTTTAGGTTTTCTCAGGATCACGGGAAGGCGCCGGCTTGATTGTACACACATCCGAGATTAAGTTATGATTGAGAAGATCCTGGAGTTTTGATATATATAGTTGTGATTATGAGATTTGATGATTTGACATTGTGACATTTTTAAATGTTATTACTGTGATAAATGTGTTTTTTTAAATTGAAAAAATTGGTTTGAAAGTTTACGTTGTTACAGTCATAGTCTGATCTCCAATAGCAACGTAATCCCAAAACAAAATAACATATTATTTCTCATCGAATATGCTCAAATCTATGTTCCTAAATTTGGCATAATCTTTATTCTCCTACAAGACAAAAAGATAATGTAAATCAAATATGCTCAATCTATATGCAATCATATAGTTAAAAAAGATTAGTAAATTATACCTTTATTTTCTCCTACCACCACTAAGGGGATGTATCTATTAGGCTTCTTGTCCCACCGAGTCTGGTTTCAAGCCTCTTTAAGCGGTCATAAAGCTTCCACTCTTTTTCCTTGTTCTCCCATTTGTTTTGTTAGTTGTTTTTTTTTCAAGGTTGTAACATGTTTTGTCCTTCATGTGTTTTTGTATATTCTCCCACCCAACTTTATCAAAGTGAGCACCGAGTTTATGGCCTTTACTTAGTTCAATCAAGCACGAATCAACAAACACCATGAAGCTACGATTATCCCACCTAAATTTTGGTTTTTTTCATTTTTAAAGATGTTTCACAATCAACAAGAGTGGTGTGGTTTTCGTCCATTGTCTGTGAATTACATAGTATCAACATTTAAACAACAAACCATTTTCATTAACCATCCTAAATGATTTTATCAATTTAATAAATTTCTAATCAATCTTTCATAAGATTCATGAACTATAGTTAATCAAAATAGAAAAACTAGAACAACAATGGAAGAAAACAACATAAATCTGAATAAACAAATTGGAATAATTTCACAAATAGGTACCGGTTAACACAAATTGGTCCCTATGAACAAAAAATTTCATCAGTTTAATCAATATTTCATCCATATTTCATCAATTTCACTAATATTTCACAAATCAATACCTGTTAACACAATATCTCATCAATTTTCGTCAACACAGTACAATCCATATACTCTCAAAGGTATGATAATCAATATTTCAGAACATCACAAGTATCATAATCGAAGGAACAAATCACATATAGTGCAAGGAAAATTGAAAATCGACATTTTCTTTGCTAATGAAAACCGAAAATCGACTCAAACGAAAACAAAATTGGAGTTTAAATTTACCTGACCGGAGACGGAGAAAGGAGACACCGACAGTGTTGATCGGAGGAAGATCGTTGATGGCTTGGTGAACGATTCAAAAAGCCAAAAGATGGTTGGGTAATAGAAAAGTTCTTTTGAAAATGATTTTTTGTATAGAGGAAAAAGAGCAATTTCTTAGCCACAATTTTGGGGTTTGAAAAGCTTATCCATAGACGGAGAAACAAAAACAAAATTGGAGTTTAAAGAACTTTTTTGCTCAACGAATCAGCCAATCATCAAGCGTCAAGCCGTTTTTTTTTCTCTCTACGTTCATTTTCCTTTCCAAGCCGATGACTTTTGTTGTCCCTCCGCTTTTTCGATTTGTTGAAGTCAAGGGCAATTAAAAGCCCTAATTTTCCCTTAGTTTAGACCCTTGAACGCAATTAGTCCCTCCGTGAGAATCCTTTTCACAAAAAAAAGCCCTAATTTATTAAACCCTCTAAAAAATACCAAACTACCCTTCCTATTAAACCCTTTATTAAAAATAAGTCTCAAACCTTCAAACATTTAACCCATTTATTTAAAATAACCCCTCATTTGGTAATTTTTTTACCAAACAACCCCAACATTTTAAACTCATTACGAAACGGTCCCGAAAATATTTCAAAGTTCAAGAATCGTGATCTTGCGGTTTCTCACGTCAAGCTTCTGAAAACAATCTAATTCCATACATATCGAACTCACGCTTCGAGTGTGAGTGTTTACGACCCCTTTTTAATATTTTAATTATTTCAGGGGGAATACATGTGCCTAAATATTTTGTTTATACAAATTAATTTCATTTTTATGTGAAAATACAATAAATCTAGTTTATAAAAATATTATTATTTAACAATTTACCATATTGTTATAAATAAACTACTATAAATTTTCCGTATGTGTATTAGGGTTATTTTGTTGTGAAATAACTAGTTCACAAAGCAAATACTACGTGATATAAAATATATTATTTTTATGTGATATTGTATATTATAACAATCATGTTATAAAATTTTGTATTGTTTCAAGGATTTAATCTATTACCATGCATGTTCATTTATATGTTTAAGTACAGGACGTTTATTGTATCACCCGATTCCTGGTACGCATTTAATTCAAGCATTTCTTGTGTTTTTCTCAGGGACTCGACGAGTTGGAGGCCCAACTCGTCGAGTAGAGACGAGATATGTGGACAGTTTAAGTGACCTACTCGACGAGTCGGAAGGCTGACTCGGCGAGTAGGTGTTGTTTGATTAAAACCCTAAATTTGAGGGTTTGCACCCTATTTAAACACCTTATCTCAGCTTCCATCGTCCCTATCACTTCCAGAAAGCTGTATATCGAAACCCTAGCCGTTTTTAGTGTGTTCTTGAGCCTTGTGGTGCTAATCCTTGTATTTAAAGCTTGGAAAGAATAAGGAGACTTGTGAGACCAAGGGGAAACAAGAAGATCCAGAGTTTGGAGCTCATTTTCAGCTTATTGGAGATATAAAGCTGAACCTTTGTCTATATATCTTGATTTTGGGGCCTTTCCTACATCTTTCTAAGCCCTAGAGAGGTTCTATTTGGTATTAAGTGTTGGAAGTCAGTGTATGCTTTAGATACAAGTCTATTGGGGGTTTTTATGGCACAAAGGTGCCTATTTTGCTGCCATGAACACCCCATGCACCTTGGAGGCCATCTTTTATGCCTTTTTGGGCAAAATACCCCTTACATGTGCACCAAGTTGGAAACTTTGCATATGAAATGGACATTAGGAGGCTAGATCTATGGGTTTGAGGTGTTAAGATCCATTTAAATCGAAAGTATAGTGTTGGTCAAGGATGGACTCGATGAGTTGTTCTTGGGACTCGGCGAGTCGCGGTGTAATGACCACCATATCCTTTCTGTGGATGGACCAGTTGTTAGGGAGGAAATTCCTATAAATGTTTAGACACGAAAAGGGACCTGGGAATCATAGGACTCGACAAGTGTATGAACAAACTCGGCGAGTCCAAGGTAATGTCCCAATCTCTGAAGATGGACTCGACAAGTTGTTCATACAACTCGGCGAATCGTAGACCGGATACATTCTTATGATGGAGATGAATTCACTGAGTTCAAGGAAGAACTCGGCAAGTTGGATGAAGATGGTTCCGATGGTTTGAATGAAGGAGAATCCATCGAGTTCTTGCTAGACTCGA